GGAAGTACAAGGTAGACGGCTACATCGAAGCAGATGGAAAAAAAATAGTCTATGATTATTTGGGGTGCTGGTTTCACAGCCACCCACCAAACGTATGCCTTACATACAAGCATGTGAACAGAGAAGAAAGGGACGAGCGCACCGAAGGGCAGCGCGTCGAAAGGTACTACCGCACTCTCCGCATCCATGACGTGTTAACGAAAAATGGCTACGTTCTCAAAATTATGTGGGAATGTGAATTTGACGCACAGTGTCGGCACAACCCTGCCGTAAAGCGGTACTTTGAAGCACGGCAGTTCACTCCCCCACCAGTGCTTCATGACAGAGACGCCCTCTTCGGAGGGCGCACGAGTGCTTTCAAAGCTTACCACAAGTGTGATGAGTCAAAGGGGGAAAAGATCAAATATGTAGACTTTCAGTCTCTTTACCCCGCAGTCCTGTGTTTCAAAAAATTCCCCATTGGACACCCGGAAATCCACGTGGATGACACAACTGGTTGTCCGCCATTGGAGGATATAGAAGGTTACGTCGCATGCACTGTCCTTCCTCCCAGGGAGCTTTTCCTCCCGCTTCTTCCCTGGCGGAGCCCAGACGGCCGCCTCTTGTTCGTTCTCTGCAGAAGCTGCGGAGAGCAACAAAACCACGGCGAGTGCACACACGAACCGGAAGCGCGCCAACTGCGCGGGACCTGGCCAGCGCCTGAGCTGCGGAAAGCAGTTGAGCTGGGCTATGAGGTGCTAAAAATCGAAGAGGTCTGGAACTACCCCCAGCGATCAAAGTACGACATAGCAAGTGGAGAGGAGGGGTTGTTCAGTGCTTTTATAAAGCACTGGGTTCGAAAAAAAATTGAATGCTCAGGGTGGCCCCAAGATTGCAAGACAGCGGCAGAGAAAGCGGAGTTTGTGGCAAATAATAAAAAGAATGTAGGCATCATAATCGACCCAGCGGCTATGAAAAAAAACGCGTCACGTCGCCATATTTTCAAATTGATCTGCAACAGCGCCTGGGGGAAATTTTGTGAGGTTTCTGACCGCACCACCGTGACTCTTGTCAAAACGTACGGGGAGCTTGTGGCGATAATGTGTGACGACACCATTGAGATCCAAAGCGCCTTACCCCTGTCAGAAAATGTAATGCAGGTCACGTGGAAAAAAATTGGAGCGTGTCAGGACAGCTTGGCGACAAACAGTCTGATTCATGCTTGTTACACCACAATGTATGGCAGACTAGAGCTTTTTGAAGTTTTACAAGCTTTAGGCCCCAATATTCTATATTGTGACACGGACTCGGCGGTGTTCATATCACGCCCGGGTGAGCCTGACCCGCCATTAGGCCGCTTTCTCGGGCAGCTGACAGACGAGATGGAGGCCTACGGAGCAGGGAGCTATATAACCGAGTTTGTCAGCGCAGGTGCCAAAGCATACGCGCTGAAAGTCGCCTGCGGCGGTGATGTAGAAAATACAAAAATTATAATGAAGCTTAAAGGTATAACCTTGAACAAATCCACAGCGGACACCGTTACGTTTGACAAATTCAAAGCCATGGTGATTGACGCAGCACCTCCTACTACGGTGCACATACCTAACCAAATCGCAAGAGTGAGCGGGTGGAATATCGTGACGCGCCCCGCAACAAAAATTTGGCGCCCGAACCTGACGAAGCGGAAGCTGTGCCCTAATGGGGTAGACACAGTACCCTTTGGTTACCATTCATTGATTGATGTAGAAGATATGGAGACAGTTCATCGGCTGCTACACACCGCAGACGCCTGCTGAAAAAATGACCCTTGTAAATATGTAAATAAAAATCCCCTTCTTTCCTCTTTTTCTTTATCTGAAAGCTATCCTCTCTTCCTTCTCCTTAATGCGGCATGGGGAGTGACAAGCCTCCCACACGAGTCATGCTCGTGGCGCAGAGTCAAGGAGAATCTCGCTGGAAAATCACCGAGGGGCGGCAGCAGCACTCAGCCACGCCCCCGCACGGCAGCGTAGTGAGGCCATCTCCACCCCACCACCGCGCCACCCCCACCGCTCAAGCGACAGTTCAGCGGATAGCCACCGACATTCTGCACAACGAGGACCCAAGAGTCCTGATAGCGCAGTGGTACCGCGCACGTTCACGGCGCCGGAGGCGCGGGTTCGAATCCAAACCAAGTCAGGACCCAGCCTTTTTTCACGAAGCGGGAATGGCTGACAAGGATACACAGTCAGAAACTTCACACGAGAACGTGAGGGTAACATACAGACGGACACTGCAAAAAATCGCTAAGAAAAACTGTACACGGCAAAAAAGGTAACGGCGCAAGCGCTCCCCTCCCTCCCCTCCCTCCCCTCCCTCCGTGGGGTAACGCGCCAAACCCTCCCCCTCCCCTCCCCCAGGGTAACGCTTGTAAGCCCCCTCCCCCCCCCTCCCCCCCCCCCAGGGGTGACGCCGGTACGGTAGTACTACTTTCCTGGATCCGGAAAGTAGCGAATCCACTAAGATTCCACCGGATCCGCTTTTGCCATACCGGATCCGCTTTGGCCATATCGGATCCGCTTTGGCCTTCCCGGATCGTCTAAGACCCTACCGGATCCCAATACCTAAGCGGATCCTCTACGGGCGTCCCGAAATAAAGTGGCTGTAAAATCGGAAATTATTGGAATTTTGAGCTCAAAATTTATACAGGGCATGTTGAAGAGAATTCACTGGGGCCATTTGAATTTCATTGCAATCGAAGAACATGATTTCGCTATCTCGAAAACCGCTGATGGTAGCGAAAAACGGATTGCAGATTTGGATCGGACTCAGTTTCAGTACCCCGGAGCCCTCTTTTCAAAACTCAAATCCCTGTTAAAGTCTTTAAAATACATATTACATCTTGCTTAGAGGATCCACTATCATACAGGATCCGCCAAGCCGCTCCGATATGGCCAAAGCGGATCCGGTATGGCCAAAGCGGATCCGGTAACGCCAGAGCGGATCCACTAGATATAGGCCAAATTCGAACACCCATTTAAACGGGATCCAGGTAGTCTACTGGATCCCTTACCATACCGGATCCGGTGCGGTAATGGATCTCGCGTACACTGGATCCGGTATAAATGGGTGTTCGAATTTGGCCTATTTAAACTGGATTTTCAGACATGGGGTCGCATTCGCCTTTAGAGCAGTGGACGCAGAACTACATGAACGCCGTGCAGAACCGCAGCGCTGCCATAGTAACGACGGAGAATATCCGTCCACTCTGCACTGTTAAAAAAAAAT